GGTGTAGCAGAGTGATGCATAAATGTTGTTACAATTTCAGAAGCCAGCATCTAACAGTCTGCTTCAGAAATACTATGAAGGTATTCCTCCTCCATGCAGAAACAGGCAAAGTAAGGCGAACGAAACTACCATTGCATGAGTTCATTTGGATTATTCCTTCGTTTTATAGTAGTAGAAGAAATACAAATTCTCTCTATACAAAAGCAAAATTTAGTAAAGTTACCTTTATACCTGCTGCAACTTAACTTCCTAACATGCAGAGCTAAACTCTTCCTACTTAAGCTTTCCATCATTTCAACTTAGGAAACAAACCAAATACTTCATCTCAGGGTTTTCTTTATATGTTTTTTTTAAAAAAAATCACCTCTCAGCCATTAAATGTGAAAAATGAAATAATTTAAACTTATAAAGACCATTATAACCATGCATTCAGAAATGATATTCCTAACTGCTGAAAAATCAGCTGCTCTTCTCAGAGAAGAGAATTTGTTCTCTATTTATACATAGTGGGATTTATACTCCAGTGGTTTAGGAAGCAGTAAATGAGAAATTTAAATGCAACATGAACTTTAAACAGACAATTTAATCAGCTGAGCTAGAAAAATAACTGAACATTAGAAGTTGCACACCTGGAGTCCTGCTAGATGTGAGAGAAAATCTGTCGCAATTTATATTTTATAGCACAAAAATGGCAACTTTTTCACCAGTAAAATATCCCCTAGAACTATGCCTAGGCATTCTTCTACTGACATACAGTGAAGAGTGCCACCTATTGAATCACAAACAGTATTTCCTGAAATAATGAAATTATTCTGGAAATACGCCACCTACATACTCCTTCCTCTCCCCCAAGCATTCAGTTTAGCTTTTCATCTCATAGTTTTTGGCAAAGAACAGTTTTGCAGCCAAAACAGTTGATATTCAAACTTTTACTTTGGTATAGAAATGAGGCATCAATCCACATTGTGTAAAAACTTTACTTTTAGAGATTCTGACCCTGGGAATAAGACCTCCTAGCTAACTTATACAGATGGGACGCACACACTCAGCACCAAGCAAAAAAGTATTAGCCAATTGTAACTTGTCGCATCAGAAGATACCATGCTATTCTGTCCAGTCTGCTCTAGTAATAACCATATTCTCCAGAGATTTGTGATTAGAAGATACCAATGATATGAAACTAAGTGGTATTTTCTGGAGGTTGTCCTTCCTTCACTCAAGAAAGCGTGCATTTTCTATATACATTATTATTAGAGGAGAAATCCTACTTTCATTCATAGCTGGACGCTTCTTTATTTACTCAGGCAACACAAGTTTCTCGCAAAAGACAAAATACAAGATACCCCATACCCATATGCTAAAATCTCAGTTATACTACAGAGCAGTAACTGATGAAAAGACACAGTATGTACCTGTGAAAGCAGCCTTACCAGGTAACTGTCTTTATGCACTTGGCACAGTATGCTTTGAAGCTTGCCTGGCCATAAGTTATGCATTGGCCCCCTGGCATCATTTAAAAATAAATACTACAGGCTATCCATTTAGAGTTCTAAATACAGCTCAGCCATGAAATAATGTTGGGAATGTTGCAAGAGTCTGCATGCAGCATGATACCAAAGAATACTGCTATGACCTGACCAAACCTTGGAACTGACCCATTTACATTCAAAACATTTGAATGAGTCAGCAGCCCACTGCATTTCCCAGGCCTGTTGCAGACTATCGCGCAATTCCCAGATGCACTTCCTCAGATTGTGTTTGCCTCATTAACAAGGTCAGTAGTGACAGAAAGCGATACAAAGGTCAATGACCAGGAAAAGATGACAATATGCAGATTTATTTTACCTGTTTACCCATTAACCTATTCAATATACTGAAGCTGCACAGAATCGCTCTGTCTCCCATCTTCTGACTGTCTAGCAGTAATACAGGAAAGCAATATATTAAAGTGAAGTTCTTCTTTTGTTTTAATACCATAAACAGATGAAGAGCTAAATATGCTGTCTTACTACAGTGACACACACATGAGTGAACAGTTGATCACTGCCTCCCTGTCAATACCCTTGCTCCCATACTCCATAAGTAAGCAAAATTAACTGATGCCAGGAAGAACGTGTGTCAATTAGCCACGTTTTTCTCAATCCAAAGACTGGACTGCATGTAGTTGCACCCAAGCTAGCTTTATTCCTGCTAGAAGTCTAATCGTAGTGGCTGTTCAGTTGCAGCTCTGTCAGCATAAACTCTGCCAAGGCCCTGCATAAATAGACAGTGGCTGTGTAGCTTTTGAAACTGCAGCTACACTGCTATCAGTAACTGAGACTATACCCCTGTGGCTATGCTGCTATCTGAAAGCTTTCGATCTGCACTGGAGATTCTCTATATGAAGGCTATAAAAAGTTAACCGGAATAGTATGTATCCCAACTCTGATTATTGCTGAACATAAGCCTACTCCTGAACGAGGACTTCCACAAATCTAAAGGTGGACTAAATGGATTTTTGGTCTGACACAGCAAACTTGTACATTAACATTTTTACGCCTACAAGAAAAACACCAAAATCAACTAAATACAAGAAACTAACTTGTACAGCACCATGAAACCACGAAAAATTACTATTTTGCCTCTAATGTAGTGATAACAATTACTAGTTGAGAAGTGCACAGACATTCTTGCCCATTTTCCAGTTAGAAACAAAGAATCAAGTTAAGAGGAACCTCAGAAGGTCTCTAGCCCAACCTGCTGCTCAAAAGCAGGGTCAGCTATACTATTAGACCAGATTGCTTGCAGCTTTATCGAGTCCGATCTTCAAAATTTCCAAGGATGGAGATTTCACTTTCTCTCTGTGCAACCTGCTCCAATTCCATGCAACTCAGTAAAGAGTCCAGAGCTCTGTCTTCTCAGTAACATCCTCTTAAGTACTGGAAAGCTCCTGTTAGGTCCCCTTGAGCCATCTCTACTTCAGGCTGAACAAGCCCAGTTCCCTCAGCCTCACAGGGCAAGCGCTCCAAGCTCTTGGTGGCCCTCCACTGAACTTGCTTATGTGTGTCAACATCTTTCTCATACTGGGGAGCCCTAAACTAGATGCAATGCTTCATATGCAGACTAGCAAGTTCCAAGAGAAGAGGAATAATTACTACCCTTGATCTACTGGTGATGCTCATGTTGATGCAGCCACATACACTGTTCGTGCCAGCACACACCACTGGCTCATGTTTAGTCTACTGTCCGCAATTACCTCAGGACCGTTTCAGCAGGGCTGCTCCCCAGCCAGTCAGGCCCTAGCCTGCACTGTTACAGGGCGTTATTCCTTTCCAGTGCAGAACTTTGCACTAGTCCTTGATGAATTTCATAAGGTCGTTGTTTGCCCACTCTTCCAGCCAAAGTCTCTCTGAGTGGCAGCCCTGTGCTCGAGCTTATTTAGCAGATCTAGTCATCTCACTGTAGAAAGCAATAAGGTGGATCAAGCACATGACTTGATAAATCCACGCTCACTATTCCCAAACACCTTCTTCATTGTCACGGTTCTTAGTCATTAACTATAGTAATTAACTATACTGAAGCTTCTTGCTAATGTGGAAAAATATTTAGAATTTCAATTGAAACATTCAGCACCCCTTCATCAAAATGCCCATGTCAGTTTTCATCTCACTTCAATTTCTCACACACTATCGTACTAGTTTGCCCTCCACATATAGCACGTTCTTGAAAGAAACAAAAGCCTTCCCATCTCAAAGGTAAAACATAACTGAACAAGTCCAAACCTTTAAAAAAAAAAAAAAAAAAGCAGTTTTTGACCACTAGGGGTAGCTCAGTAATGCTTTCTTCTTTTGAGCCTTGAGCAGGTTTCATTCCTGCCTCCACCTGAGCAAGGCAAACCTTCAAACTGTTGTACAAGCAGTCATTAAAAAAAAAAAAAAAGTGCGAGACAGAGAAAAATTTTCTTCCTGTTCTCTTAAGAAGATCTACAAGGGAACCAATATAATAACCAATACCAACATTGGCTTCCAACCCATACGAGAACTGTACCATCTTAGGAATCTTCTTTTTAAATTCACCTGTGTTTGAATGTTGTATATATTTTGTTCCTAACTTCCTTCAATATTGGCTGCTCTTTTAGCTCTTCCAGCACAGATCAAACAGCACATTTTTAAAATTTATATATTAAAAAAAAAAATCTCACGTCCCAGAGGTTCCTCACCACTAGTTTTTTAGGTGTATTTCCTTATGACAACTTCAGAACAATGTAATAAATTATACCCACTGAAGAAAAAAAGATCAGTAATTGACAAGACACAACTCTGCTAGTGTAGGCTTGTCATAATTTAGCAATAAATATAATTTCTGCCTACTAGATTAAGAACCTCTTAAATTTTAAATTGCCTTTTCCCTAAACACTTCTACTCAATAATGAGGATGAGATGTGATGTAGCTTAAAAAAAAAAACTAATTTTTTAGAATAACATCTAACATCTTCTACTAACATCTTTCTTATGTACTCATATTTTAACTTCTTTTGCCTCTATGAAATTCATTAAACAAAACTGAAATGCATTAAACAAAAGGCAAGTTACAGAAACATACTGAATTCATTAAGCAAAATTAAATCACACAATAACTCTTGCACACCATACCACCAGAGCTGGTCCTTTAATGAACACTGAATGAGATAATCTGTAATAAAATACTTTAAAGATGTATTTATATACAATTATTTTTATATGCTATCCCCCTCTAGGGAGAAGAGGGGAGAGTAATTTCTTTAACTTTGAAAGATACTGTGTTAATGGGTAACACGCATTAGGACTGAAAAATATATATTTCCCAGAATATGGAAACTTTTTATTTGAAACTTTCTCCTGTATATTTCATAAATTCCCTCAGGATATGTGAAAGGTTGCAGAATTTGATTTTACTGTATAGATACACAGAATGATAAACTCCAAAGTTTACAAACTGAGGAGAGAGAGAGAAAAATAAAAAAATAAAAAAAGGAGACTTACAAGATCTCCCTCCAGGGATTTCAGCTGATGGTCTATTTCTTTCAGACGGTTTTGCTGATCACGGTGCTCCTTATTGTATCGCAGAACCCTCTCACCTGGAACGGCTTCTAGTTTTCTGTTTGCATAAGCCAGAGATTCCTGACAAAAGAAAGAATAGGCAGAAATTAAATATAAGACTTGATATTGTTTCAAACCCAGAAAAGCGTTCATTTGTTTTCTGCAAGAAAAATACAGAAATATTTAGAATAACATGTCAATTTCACAGTTAACAAATGCATAATTTTCATTATGTATTTTCTTTTAAATAAAGTAGCTAAACATCAGGCAGGACTTACTTTAATATAAGAACTCTCTTCCTTCACATTGGAAGAGAAATTTCCTAGTCTCCATAGCTATAAACTTGATGGTTAAGTTCTGTTACAGCAATATAAATGCACAGAAAGTAGGGGAAGCGGAACGAGGGGTTCAAAAGCTTACTCCTATTTACCATACTGGGATCAGAATAAGGCCATCGCTGACAAATCTGAGAAGGGAAAGGAAGAATCAGACCTAGAATGATTTTAGGCTTTGTTTACTGGACCTCACAGAAAATGAGAAAAAAAACTTCTCTCTGTAAGTTGAAGAATTAGTCAATGCACAGCCATTATTAAATACACATTCTCACATTCTTCAGTAGCCTTGGATCAGAATCTGAAATTCATATCAGTGCAGAGTACATTCAAGGTTCAATGTAGTGCTGCTACATGCAAGAACAGAAAGTAATTTAGATCATTCAGAACAACAATATTGGCAAAACTACAAAGTTACAGGTAGTCGGGGGGGAAAAAAAAACAGGGTTTGCTTTTGCAAGAAAAAAAATTTGTCAGTCAGTTTAACCCAAAAGAGCATAAGCAGCCATTTAATAAAAATTATACTCTATTCATTCTTATTTTCAGAAGCAGATTAAGTAATCTTAAACCATTCAGAAAAGAATTTCATGTAGTTTCTCTGATTGGAAAGGGAAATAACTTTTGCAATTTGAATATTAAATTGCAAAATTCTCAACTACAATATATAAAAATTGTGACCATCTGAAAACAATTTTTCCTCATCAACAGATAAATTAATAAGTTCTGACATTCAAATCACAATATTAGTTCCTTGAGAATAAAAATAATTCAATACAGTACAAAACTTTCAATGTATATTTACAATCAGCAATTGTCAGCACTACCACAATCCTAATTAATTTTTCTTATAACAGACAGAGATACAAACAGCATCACCTGCTAAAGACTGGAATCTCTCCAAAGTGGGCTAAGTATGATGTGGACCATGTAAAGCCATAATTCCTAACAATGAGTGTCTAAAGCTAGGCTTTTAAATATATTAAGAGCTTATTAGTTAAATATGATGCCCAACGGCAAGAAAACTACACAACTACGTCTATATAGAACATTAAAAAAAAACAACTTAAACTTCTGCCTATTACATGAAACAAGAATATGACCTTTTTACGTAGAATATAAATATAGAATTGGCAAAGGAACCTAGAGTATAGCAACTGAAGCTCCCTCTATCAAGAAGAATTGTTTTTGCATGGCTTTTTTCTTTAGGCGATTTTAATGCAAATGAAACCTTTCATGACAGTAGTGGGAGAAAGGAAAGAAAAGGGTGATGGCATCATATTTCACTTTTTTCTTTTTTAAAAACAAATTACAGCTATTTCTGCAATCAAATTTCTAAATCCAGTCTTGATCTGCACATATGTAGAGACACTGCCATCTGAGCTATTAGTGCTCAGCGTGGATTAGAGTCGTGGCTATAACTTGGTTTAAAAAGCAGCGTTATGAATACATCTATAAGAACATGCAATTAGTGGTATTGAGAAGTCACTAAAGGTTATATTACACTTCTCAATATTTTATTCTGGAGGTTGTATGCAAGGGACTACAAGTTGATACTTTTACATGAACTCAGCCTTCAATCAAAAAATACAGCTCAATTTGCATATAACATCTCTGGAAAATATTCCTACTGTAGAATCAGCAAGATTTAAACAGGGGACAGTAACAGGGGCCATACAATCCAAAACTTATCACCTTCGAATTCTTTAACTTCTCCGCATATTTTCCTGAAATAAAATTTTATACCGATCTGTGTCCTGGTCCTTCAGACAGTTTCGAGCATACATGTTTCACTTTATATAGAGACAGCTCAAATACTGCAAACACTTATGGGCAAGCTCTTAAGACTTCAGAAAAGTAGTGCATCCTAAGTTATTTTTCCTTTTATCATATGCAGTATGATTGCAAGCCCGGTTGCTTCTGTAGTAAGGCAACATTGTTTCATCAAAAGGAATTCACAATTGAGATAAACATGATGGCTTTATTTTCCACAAACCTTTCTTGAATAGTGATCTCTCCCATGATACCTACCAATTCTTAGAGTAGGCTGGATAGAACCTGACCTTTGAACATTTACTGGAAAACAGAAGCAAAAACAACCTGCTTCAACATTTCCACAAAAACTAACACCCACAATTTCTTTAATTCTATTTAATTCCAAGATTGCAAACTGAAATTTCTGTTAATTTCTATAAAACAATGAGCAGAAAGGTCATATGCATTCCAAATCCTACCCTACAAATCAGCACACTAATAAATAATGCAAACAACGAATAAGCAATGAATTTAGTGGGAAGCTTCACACTTTCTGAAATGTCCTCATCTCTAAAAGGAGGGGGAAAAAAAAAAAATCACAAAAATACAACACCTATAGAATGAAGTTGAATAAAACACATGACATTAACTAGACATACCTTCCTTACAGCCTAGGTGGGTGGGGGGAACAGGACATACATTGTAACACTGTGTAACCAAATATTAATTCTTCAGAATCCTTGAGAACAGAGGTTTTTAGCAGATTTTCACTGAATTTCATTCTGAAATGAAGTTTTTATGGAATTCTCAGCTTTGAAATGTAAGTTCTAATCCCTTGAGTGATAGAACACTTTTCGAAAAATAACTAACACTGAAAAAACCATGCTGGACAAAGATGTCAAAACAGAATCAAAGTTGTTAAAGGTGTGAAGGAATTCTCCTCTTTAAGGTACAGTTTAGTGGAAATACTACGGAATATGACCAATAATCACATTATTTTCACGGACTTACTCTGCTAAAGAAACATGATCAATAGGAAAGTTATACAGCTATCATAACAAAGTCTTCAGAAACAAAGTTAATAACAGAACTTAAGAACATAAGAATGACTGTCTCCAACAATATCTTGTCTCCAGGAAGAGCCGATAACAAGTATGTACACATTGGCATAGAATAAGAGCAAACCCAGAGTGATAGTTTCTTAATATACTATCCCAGACTCCAATAATTTGTAGTTCAGGGACCTCCCAAGGCAAATATTGCATATTGGCATTGAATAGGGTTTGAAAGACCTTTCTTTATATTTATTCGTGTTCCAAACCATGTACGCTTTGCATCCACAATGACCTGTGGCAGAGGCCCGCTACATAACTGAACGCTACACAAAGAAATACGCTTTTTAGCTCGAATCTGCCATTTGCTAGTTGTATTCAGTTCTTCTAGTTCCTGCATGAGATGAGATGGTAAAAATTTCTTATTACTTACTCTATCTTTGATCATCATGATTTTGCATACTTTGCAATCACATCCTCTCTTATTCTTTTCCAAACTGAAGAATGTTCTCTGTGCAAGTCACACTTGGCACAGAAGCCATTCTACGCTTCTAAGCATTATTGTAACCAGTTTTCCATTTCTATAGTGCTTATGAGATATGGCTATGCTATGACTGCACAACTGTGGTACACTACAGATTTATGCAGCAGCACAGTGACATTCTCTGTTTCATTACGTATTTCTTTCAGAATTTTTCCTAATAGTCTTTTTGATATTTGACCAGTATGAAGCATTAAATTGCTGCTTTTACAGAATTAGTTCTTACAGTCTCAGTGATCTCATCTTTGAATAGCAACTGATCAGAACTCACACCACATTAGCAAAGTTATGGCTTTCCCCCGTGTACTCATTCTCTAACATTTTTCTCAAGATATCTGCATTAAATAAATGCAGGAAGCACTACTGCATGAAAAACATTTTATTGTCAAAGTTTCAAATGCTTCAAAACATTTTGTTAATCTCTAATAAACTCTGATGATCTGCACCTGCTATAATTTCTGCTTCAATTTTATTATCATTGAAACAAAGCTCGAAAAAAATCTTTGGGATGAAGCAGACAATACAAATGTTAACTATGTTACACAAGGGAAATTGCAAGTACTTAGAATAGCCAAAGCTGTAAGGACCATTAGATAAATGTAAATAACCAGTATCTGAAATAACTGATATTATTTGCTGCACGCCCTTTTCTTCAAAGTTCTAAAAATAAACAAAACCAAAACCCACCTAATGAAACATACTGGTGCATTACAATCTTTTTAAGCTACAAAACAGGCTGATCTGTTTATTAACATGCTTTTAACCATGCCTTGAGTTAGAGATACCTGTCAAAGTCTCCATCTGCTGTGGAGAAGCAGATGCATGGAGTATATTGCAGAGTTCATTAATGAAAATATTAGGATCTCTTCATAATCTTTTATCCTTTAGAGTAATTCTTTAGTTTTAAACTGTCAACTGTAACCTACTCCTATAGTTGAAAGATGGAATATTTTTCCAATAAAAGGAACCTGGTTAGGTACAAAAGAAGGCATCAAGGTAACATGCTACATTAAAGAAATTATCTTTATAAGATAATCAAGAATATGGATGTTGTTGTTTCTTCAATCACTGTCTCCATTTCATTTTATTTTCCAGCTTTTCAAATTGGTAAATGTAGTCATCACACTCAGTCTTACAATTCATATTCTTCACCCTACCATTCTCCTATTTCTTCCAGGATTACATTCAGTTTAATTTGTTTTTCCCCTAAAATACTGAGTAACACAAAAGTATTTTTTAAATATTTAATTAAGTTGGCACCAGAAGAAAGAAATGCTTCAGAGAGAAATAAAGTTCTGATGAGAAACATTTCCATGTAAAAGAGAATATTAGTCATGGAAAAGTATTCTGAATCCAGCTGGACTGATTGCACAAAAGATGAATATGCATGCTTCTCTGTAACAG